CGCATGGCCTTTTTCCGGAGACCCCTGCGATTAAAGGGGAACTCTACAATTTCCGTACCTCTGGGCGTGGTTGTCTTTTTTCCAATGCTTGTTTTAATCCTTATTTTTATTCTCTTCGTCAGCCATCCCAGTTCCCCCGGCAGGTTTCTGATACCAGGGGGTGCTCCCCCCAAGATGCGGTAAGTCTGATATCAGCCAGCATTGGATGCTTTGGCATATCAGATAGCTAACAGCCCAAACAGGAAAATCAGCGAAAAGTACGATAAGGTGTTCGTCGAGGGCTGCGCCCAGCCTGACACCAGCCAACCTCGAGCCAACGCCGCATTTGTGATATTAGCGCGAAACAAGGAGATTGATGGTGTTTTGCAATCCATAAAATCAGTCGAGAGGCATTTCAATCGCTGGTATCATTACCCCTATGTGTTCCTCAACGATGGTGATTTCGACGACAACTTCAAGGAGGCTGTTAGAAACCATACCTCCGGAGATGTCGAGTTTGGAAAGGTTGGACCAGACATGTGGGGGTTCCCCGATTGGATTGACCCCAAGGTAGCTTCAGAGGGTATCGCCAAGCAAGGCGACGCTGCCGTCATGTACGGAGGTCTAGAGAGCTACCACAAGATGTGCAGATTCTACTCTGGGTAAGTTGGGATTCTCTTAGCGATGAAGGATAGTCTGGCTAACAGCGCAACAGTTTCTTCTTCAACCACCCCTTATTGCTCAAGTACGAGTGGTACTGGCGAGTCGAGCCCGAGATCAGCTATTTCTGCGACATCACATAGTATGTTTTGCTCCTTTCAGACGCAGTCGCATTATTAACTGGTTGCAGCGACCCTTTTCAGAAAATGATCGAACACAACAAAACATATGGTTTCACAATTGCCGTCAAGGAACTTCGAGAAACCGTTCCCAATATCTTTCGATACGCCTCCGCTTATAAGCGACTTAACAACATCACATCGAAGGGCTTGTGGGAAATGTTTGTCGAGCCACCAGAGGACGATGACGAGGACACTTCTAAGGACAGTGATACCTCAACAAATCCCGAGAAAAGTTTCTGGGATACCCTCACGGGTAAAAAGGAGAACATTGTCGACCCTGAGTCAATGGAGGGAGAGACCTACAATATGTGCCACTTTTGGTCCAATTTCGAAATTGCGAAGCTCAGCTGGTTCCGCAGCAAGGAGTACCAGGACTTCTTTGAGATGATGGACAGAAGCGGTGGCTTTTGGATGGAACGAGTATGCAAGCCAAAGTCTCCCTTTTTGTAACGATGCTAACATTCCTCAGTGGGGCGATGCTCCTATTCACTCCCTTGCCGCTGGCGCTCTACTCGGACCCCAGGATATCCATTACTTCCGAGACTTTGGTTACCGACATACAACGATTCAGCATTGCCCTGCCAATGCGCCGGGCAAACAGCTCGCACGTGAGCCCTACCTAGAAAAGACAACATTCCCCGAGTATAAGAGATTTGAGGAAGACGACTACTGGGAGCAATGGGACGACGTGCAAGAAGGTGGCATTGGCTGTCGCTGTAGATGTGATACAGACGTTGTCGATGTTGAGGGCAAAGAAGGATCATGTCTTGCAGAATGGGTCGACGTTGCTGGCGGCTGGGAACATCCATACTAGGCCACTTTAGACTTGAGCTGTCTTGAGTATAGGATCCAACAAAGGGATCATCAGCATTCGAGCACTGCAATTATCAACCAAACATCAACGGCGCGTCAGGGGCATAAGCAACTTTTTTCGACTAGGTCAAAGGGATTATTGCACATTCGGGGACAGGGAAAATTAAAAGAGGGTGCGGCGTTTTGTTTTGTCCCGAGCATTCTGCCTTTGCTTTTGCTTTTGCTTTTGCTATGGCCGGAATACTCGTCTAACATTGTACTAAAGGGATATGGCACGCGCATCGTGAGAAATCTGCTGCATACACGGTTTGGGAGGTCTTTGTCAAGATGATCTGATAGACGGTGGATTTATATTCTACTCTTACTAGACGTCAGAGAACCCGTTGGTATTAATGATACATGTAGGGTGAGGGCCGGCTCATCTTACAACCACAAAGAAGTGGTTTTTGTTGCATGTCTCATTTGGTGGTATTATGCATAAGTGATCGCCCTGACCTTAAATTTATGGTTCTTACAGCTGCAAACCTTACGCCTCATGCAAGCCATCCCTTAATTGTGTGCTAGATTCCGTGGTAGCGTAGGCAGACTCCCAGGGGCTGAATGGACGTGGCGTTGGAGGCCCCGGTCTAGAGAGCACTGCCCTCAAGACAACCAGCGACATAATTCTAGACCCACCAGTTCATGGGGGGCTGACCAAGTCCTATGTATAAGAGTCCTACGGATAGAAACCACAAAGAGGTGTCTGTGCCAATATCATTCAATTCACTGTTTCTTCTCTATTCTCATAATCACGCATACTATATCAGTTTCGGTCACAATGGATACCTTAAATCGTGTCTCAGAATATCTCTTCGGCCCTGCGATTCCTCATCGAGAACCATGTGGCCGAGCAGTACAAATCATGTCGGATCTTCATCTAGAGCTAAATCGGCAATACGCAACGTTTGACTTCCCTGCCAAAACACCTTTTCTCATTCTTGGGGGTGATATAGGCCGTTTAGTCGACTATGACATGTTTCTTCCTTTCCTCGCACGCCAAACAGAACGCTTCGATAAAGTGTTCTTAGTTCTTGGCAACCATGAGTTCTATGAGATGAGCTATGAGGACGGTATTGAAAAGGCGAGGGAGCTGGAGAAAGAAGAGTCTCTAAAAGGAAAACTTGTGGTTTTGGATCGAAATCGCAGGGACGATCCGGACTCCAAACTCACAATTATCGGCGCAACACTGTGGTCGAATATCCATTCTTCAGCCGCTGAGACCATTGCCCTCCGAGTATCAGACTACAAACTCATCAAAGACTGGACCGTCGCCAAACACAACGAGTGTCACGCCCGGGATCTCGCCTATCTCACAGAGACCATATTCGAACTCAATAACCTCCCAGCAGAATCTCAGAGAAATGTCTTGGTGGTCACGCACCACGCACCCTGTGTAAAAGGGTCTTCGAGACCAGAACATGCGAATGCACCCTACAAGACGGCGTTTTCGACGGATGTTATACAGGCGAGGGAGTTTATGCGTGGAGTGCAGGTTTGGATGTTTGGTCATACGCATTATACGACTGAGTTTAAGAAGGGTGGTGTGAAAGTAGTTGCGAATCAGAGGGGGTACGTTTTGGGCTATAAGGGGCCAACACTGGAGAATACAAAGGGTTTTGACGACGAGAGAGTTGTAGAGTTGTGAGCTGGGATAGATTGGTTTCTTGCACTTAGATGGTATTGGGGATCTGCTCTCGAAGAGCTTGGAGTTGGCATACTGAGTTAGTTCATTCCTTGATGTATTATCACCCCGTTTGTATGTATGCAATCTATGCAATCAACGCCGACTATATACCCTGAGCATTTGTCGTCAGAATAACATGATATATGGTCCATCTCAAGTTACGGGGTGGGAATGTTGTTTAGTAACTGGTAACTCCCATATGGATGAAAAGAGGCTCGCGCAGGATCCGGTATAGCTGATATACAGAGGCTTAAGAGCTGTTCTTCTGTTGTGTCTAGGCACATACTTGAGCAGTATAGGTCTCTCAAATGCTTGGGGAATGGGCTGAATCAAAGCAAAGCCCCAGATCGTGCCAGGCGTGGTATTTAAGCATGATTAGTTAGCTTATATGACCCTTGTTCTTCTTCTATCTTCAGCTTTTTATCAATTACGTGTTGGCTGTATGTTTCATACCCCTGTTGTTGGCTATAGATCCACGCAATTATGACTGTGCCTTGGGCTATGCTCGAATACAAGGATGATGAAAGCACGAGAATGTCAATTTATACGAACCTGCAGTTTACCAGCTGGTGCTATATATCAGCTTTACCCTCACTGTTTGATCTGTTTTGCACATCGTCGTCTCATCTTCACGATTTCCACGATTACAAGGTTCTATGAGGATTATACTAGGTAGCTCTTCATCCATATATACCCACGATGTCAGCCAGAATTCCTAATCTCTACTACAGCCATTTTCTCAGCACCAAACTAAGCGACAGATCGTTATCCCTCTTGGCGACAGTTGTGCTAGACTTCCATCAGTCAAGCAGCTCAACTTACGGGCCGTTAACAACGAAACTAGGCGCTTTGAGCTGAGACAACGGGAACCGGTCCAAAGGCTTGTTATACAATACTTTTTCAATCACCGGCTTTACAAAGTTTGTCTAGGCAACCTTAAACATAGCTATATCGATCGTTCAAATGGGCATCATGTTGATCGAGCCCCGCCGGGCTAAAACAGACGATGACCCAGCTTGGCTCGCGAGTGATGCACTTTTTTATTTCCTTGTGATCGGTTTGCCTCTCATGGCTATATTTTTCTGCTGGGTCGGCGGCTTGGCTATTTATAGACGCAGAAAGAGAATTAAAAAAGCAAAGCGCGCTGCTAAGGCGATGGAAGTAAGACTCGCGAGCACGGCTGGGGATACGCAAAGTCTTGGGGGAGGGACTCTCTGCAACTAATTGCTCTTCTTCTGGTCGATAGTTGCTTCTTGATAGAGGTGAAATGGGGTTTAAGATGTTCAGATGCGGGAAGGGCTTGAACTCTGTGATTAATGAATGTACAAGGCGTGTAAGTGATATCTTTGAGGGGGTTTTGACAGCTCCCTCTTTCTGGATGGAAGGACAGGAGCTTTGGTGCCCAGTAAAAATACAAACGATTTTATGAAGTCTTCTAATAATACATTAATCATTTTTAATATCAATTCCGAAAACGTTGGCTCTGAGCCTGTCGTCGATGATGTCTATGAGTTGTAGCCTGAGGCAACCACTGCCCCAGATTGACATTCTTGCGCTAAACCATTCAAAAAATTGGTGACCGTCGACTTCGAGATCGCCAGCATCAATTCCAAACTCACGGCCACGGCGCCCTCTCCACGACGATGCCTCCTCGAATTTCACCCTTCAGCACGCCGCTGTGCTGCAGGACGACTGCCAATGCTCCTGTGTCGTCGCTGACCGCCTACCTCTCCGGCCTCTCTCTCCAGACCCGAAATGCGTCTATCCTCAGCAGCCTCGCCAACAACCCCGGCGCCGTTCACCAGAAGAAGCGAGTTGGTCGTGGTCCCTCTTCCGGACACGGAAAGACATCTGGTCGTGGTCACAAGGGTCAGAAGCAGCATGGAAAGGTCAAGCCGTGGTTCCAGGGTGGTCAGACACCCTTGATCGTCAAGCATGGTCGAAAGGGTTTCAGCAACTTGTGAGGCGCCTACGAATATCCCGACAAGATTTTGAAGAGTCTGGAATCGTAAGAGTTCAATTGACTAACGAATTTGTAGCCGAGCTCCTCAGATGTCGGAAGTCAACCTCGATCAGATCCAGGTTTGGATCGACCAAGGACGAATCGACCCCACCAAGCAGATTACGCCAAAGGAATTGATCGAGTGTGGCATTGTTGGAACTGTCAAGGATGGCGTCAAGGTCCTCTCCCGAGGTGCGGATATGCTTAAGCAGCCCATCGATGTAATGGTCTCCCGTGTTTCTGCTGGAGCTATTGCTGCTATTGAAGGTGCTGGAGGCAAGGTCGTTACCCGATACTACACCAAGCTGGCCATAAAACGACTCCTACGAGGCCAGTCCGTCAACACAGATAAGCCTCTCCCTCAAGGGTTGGAGCATGTCGATACTGTGCTGGCCGCAGCCCGCGATGCACCCTTCCGGTACCGATTACCCGACCCTACCAGCCGTGAGGACATTGAGTACTATCGTGATCCCGCACACCGAGGATACTTGAGCCACCAGCTTGCGCCAGGAGAGTCGCCCAGTTTGTACTTCAGAGTGCCTGGTGTGCACAAGATCAAGAGCGAGATTAAGAAGGAGAAGGCAGCCACTGAGGAGACTCTGTTCTAAGGATTGGGAAGGGCTTATGAAGAATTGTATTATAATGACCGAGTATAGACACTTGGATGTGATAACAAGCTATGTACAAACAATTGAACTCACGAACTTGTTCCTGTTAACGTCTGGTAATCAGCCACAGTTTTGACAGCCCAGGCTGTGGCGTCTCCAGGAACATCCATTTTATTTAACCGTTGCATGGATGCGTCGAGGGGTACGTACCCATGACGCTCCACAACAGCTCCGTCCGGTTTAAGTTGATGTCGCAGACCCAGGTCTTCTCCACTTGGAATGACTTCACCAACCTCCCAGTTGCCTCTCAATTCGCGTGTATTTCGTCGCTAGAGCTTCTGTATTACTTATTGGCTTCGCTTCAACTCCTGTAGCTGCAGCTTTGTTCCATCGCAGGCTTGGTATCGCGCACCCAACTCGATTGCGCTGTATATCGTCCTCTCCGCGGTTTCGATTACGAATCGCTATCTTGACGATCGATCTACGCTCTCCACGAGTAATCGCGACTCGGTTGATCGACGTCGACGAGATTGATACGCGCCGCAAGATTACCTTACATTCACTCCTCGCCTCACCTCAAAGTCATAATGTCACTTTTTGGTTCATCGCCGACGGAGGACAGCCCGGTTCTGGGCTCGTCTACTAGTCCAGCTCGTCGCGGCGGTGCTGGACTCTTCGACGATGACTCTGGTTCTGGAACTCCAAAGCCATCCAACAGTCTGTTCGCTGACGATAACGACTCCCATGATTCGCCTTGGGACATGCCCACGCCGCGCAAGCAGCAGAGCAGAGCCGATCTTATCCGCAACCTTCTCCCCGGTAGCGACGTGCCCGATGCCTATATCGAGACCTTCGATACAGTGGTGCGCGAAGATGGCAGCGGAGGTCAGGTCACTTCTGGTGGTGTCGCAAAGCTCTTCGCTACTGCCAGACTTGGTGCTGATGCCCAAGCTCGCATTATGTCCTTGGTAGCTCCCGGAGGCGGGGATGTCCTGCTAGGTCGAAACGAGTTCAATGTGCTGCTGGCTCTGGTAGGCCTCGCTCAAGAAGGCGAAGTCATAAGCCTGGATGGTGTTGATGAGCGCCGAAAACGTAAGTAAACATATCTCTTTGATTCACATTCCGCATGATTATTTTTGCCTCGTGTCAATCGCTTGCTTGCCAAGACTTACAAGCTGCCCTATCAACTGGTCAATGCAATGCCATGGATGTCATATCAGTGCTGGCATATGCCCCCCGGCGCTTGGTGGGGACACTACTCGGGCCCAGCTAATAACTCATTTCCATCACAGGCCTTCCGCAACCCAAGCTCGCGGGTCTTACTGCAGAGCCCGTCCTACCTCCAGTCGCTGAACTTTCCGCGAAGCCGCCTCAGACACCTCCAAAAGATATTCCTCCTCAACAACAGCAAACTCCTCCCGCGCAACAACAGCCTAAGCAATTTCGACCAGCCATGGATGACCCAGAGGATGATCCATGGGGGAGTCCCGATATGCACAAAACCCATGATCATGGTCCCTCTAAGTCCAACGGCGCCCAGCGAAACAGCACAAATGGCCATGCCGGCTTTGGCCAAACACCACCGACAACAGTAATCGACGCTCCTCCTCTGCCTAATATTGCATCCCCTCCGGTCACTACGTCTCCAAACAGTCGGCGACAGCATAGCAGCAACTCGGTGACAACGCCTGGTGGATGGGGATACTTTGATGGAAACAACCCTGTTGTAGGCTTTGGGGATTCTCCCTCTGGGCCTGTCCAGAATCCTTTTGGTGGAGCTCCCGATCTGACACCAACTGCACAACCTCCAGCTCTTCAGCACCACACGAGCAGTGGTAGAGTCAGCCGCGGCGCCGAGGAGAATGTCGTTGTTGTGCTGATGCCGGAAAAGGAAGGTGTTTTCATGTTCCAGCACCATAATTATGAAATCTCGAGCATAAGGCGCGGTAGCAAGGTTATTCGCAGATACAGCGACTTCGTCTGGCTATTGGATTGCCTACACAAGAGATATCCATTCCGTATTCTGCCGCTACTTCCACCTAAGCGTGTAGGTGTAAATGGCAGCCATCTGTCCAACGATGGGGCCTTCATCGAGAAACGAAGGAGGGGCCTGTCACGGTTCTTGAATGCCCTTATCAGGCACCCGATTCTGAGCCAGGAACAGCTGGTCGTCATGTTCTTGACCGTTCCTACAGTAAGTCAATTCTGCCACCAAGTGTAAATCAACTGCTGAAGCTAATATCAGCATCAGGAACTATCTGTGTGGCGCAAGCAAGCTACCATTTCTGTTCTGGATGAGTTTACTGATAGAGCACTACCACCTGGTTTGGAGGACTCTTTGCCCGCTGAGCTCGAGGATCTCTTCAACCGAACACGTAATGGCGTCAAACGATCTGCTGAACTTTACATTAACGTATGCAACATCATGGATCGCCTCGTCAAGCGGACCGAGGGCGTGGCTGCTGATCATGCTCGCATTGCTCTTTCTTTGGCCTCTCTGACAGAAACATCGGAGGATACTTACGCAACTGACACCAACGAGGTTCCTCTTCTTAACGATGGGCTTGTTGCCATGAGCAAACACCTCAGAACTTGCCAGGCTTTGATGGAGGATGAGAGCCGTGGATGGGACGAGGGAGTTCTCGAGGACCTCAAGCGCCAACGAGATGCTCTTGTCAGTGTGCGTGAGATGTTTGAGCGAAGAGAGCGTTTGGATAAAGATAATATCCCTTATCTGGAGCGAAGGATTCAGACAAATGAGAACAAGCTTGCCAGCTTGAGATCCAAGCCAGAAGGCGTGGTCAAGGCTGGTGAGATTGACCGGATAGCGGAAAACATTATCAAGGTAAGTCTATCACTGACGTAGTTGAAGAGGAAGCACTAATAAAGAACCAGGACAAGGAGTCTATTGTCCAGCAACACAATCGCTCCATCTTCGTCAAGGAGTGTATCCGCGACGAACTCATCACCTTCCAGTCAACTCAGTACCAGGTCAGCCGATGGAACCAAGACTGGGCCGGCGAGCGAGTCAAGTACGCCGAGATGCTCGCAGACAACTGGCGACGATTGCTAGATGAGCTTGAGGGCATGCCCCTGGGTGACTAGAGCCCGCCAGAGAGTCATCAAGGGTCATTTGCTACAGCGCACGACGAGCCTTTCGAGGAAAACGCCGAGATTATATGGGGGGATGTTGAGTGGTGATTGGATATAACAACAGAGAGGAGAGGAGAGAAGCGGTAGTGTGTTTTCAAAGTATATTTATGCGTGCAAGATGTATTTGTGTATTAAGACAAGAGCAAGATGAAGGTGAATATGCATGGGTTGAAAGAGGAGCGTTAGTGGGAGGGAGACAGAGAAGCGTGTGGATGTGCTCGATACCCTTCATTCATTTTAGTTTCCGATCCTCGTTCATAATAGAAACCAAACCTGCCACGTTTATACAAGTCGCTGCTCTTGCTGATGTGGTCGTGTTAGTTCTTGATCAGTATTATGCGAGATCACAGTACTATGTTTCAATATAACGTGAATATTCCCATTTTTATTTTTTGCTCTCCATGTCAGTCTTGGATATCTACCACTGATCTGTCACGGCACCGTGAGAAGCATCTCCGACCAACTTGGCATACTTGGCCAGCACACCCCTCTTGACTCTAGGCTCGGGTGCCTTCCACTCACTCCTTCGCTTGTCCATCTCCTCATCGGTGATATCGACATCGATGCGGTTTCTAACTGCATCGATGGTAATAACATCTCCATCCTTGACCAGAGCGATAGGGCCTCCAACCATAGCTTCAGGCACGACGTGTCCGACGATGAAGCCGTGAGAGGCACCGCTGTATCGACCGTCTGTGACGAGGGCAAGATTCGAGAGACCGGCACCCATGATGGCTGCAGAGGCCTTCAGTTGTTCGGGCATACCGGGACCACCCTTGGGACCTTCATATCGAACAATCACGACCAAGTTACCGTCAGACTGCTTGATCTCACCCTTGTTCAGAGCAGCGTTGAGCATCTTCTCAGTGTCGTATACACGAGCCTTGCCAGTGAAAGACAGACCCTCCTTTCCAGTAATCTTGGCAACAGCACCGCCGGGTGCAAAGTTTCCTCGTAGAATGCGGATGTGGCCTGAGTCCTTGATAGGGTTGTCGAGAGAGCGGATGATATCCTGGCCAGGGTCCAGGCTGGGCCAGTCTTGCACATTCTCGGCAAGAGTCTTGCCGGTGACGGTCATGATGCTGCCGTCGAGAAGACCACGGGCGATGAGCATCTTGATAACGGAGGGTGTTCCGCCAACGTTGTACAGATCTTCCATGTAGTACTTTCCACTGGGGGCCAGATCAGCGAGGAAAGGTGTTCTATCACTGGCGCGTTGGACATCGTCGATGGTCAGGGGTACACCAGCTGTGTTGGCCATGGCGAGGAAGTGAAGAACACCGTTTGTGGAACCACCCAGAATCATAGTCAGAACAAGAGCGTTCTCGAAGGAAGCTCGGGTCATGATATCGCGAGGGCGGAGATCCTTCTCCATAGTAGTGCGGATAACCTGAGCAGCGCGCTCACATTCACGACGCTTCTCAGGAGACTCGGCAGGGTATGATGAGGAGCCAGGTAGTGAAAGACCCATAGCCTCAATGGCAGTAGCCATAGTGTTAGCCGTGTACATGCCACCACAGGCTCCAGCACCGGGACAAGCATGCTTCTCGATATCATCCATGACATCAGAGCTCTCGCGGCCAGCCTCACCAGGATTTGTCTTTGCGTGGAGTCGGCCATAGGTGAAAGCGCCAGAAGCTTCGTAGCATGTGCTGATGTTGATGGGCTTCTCGAGGAGCTTGGAGTGACCCTTGCGGATGGTACCGCCGTAGATCATGATAAAGGGGCGGTTGTGACGAGCGGCGGCCATTACAGTGCCGGGCATGTTCTTGTCACAGCCAGGAATAGAGATGTTGGCGTCATGGTGCTGGGCGCAAGTTACAGACTCAATGGAATCAGCGATGATT